TTCCATCGCCTTCTTTTCGGCTGCGATGGTAGAATCCCAAAGCGGCTCCCAACTGACAAGCACCAAAAAGGTAGCCGCAACGACATGGTTCTAGCTTGCGCTGCCGCAATAAAAGCAGCAAAAACAACAGCAACAGCAGTAGCAGTTCCTACTGCAGTGGCAGCAGTTTAGGCTGCTGCTCGTGGCGCCCAGGCAGTTCAGTCGCAGGTAGGGCAGCGATAGCAAAAACCTTATACCTAAGATCGGCAATGGCAGCAGCAGCAGTACTTAAAAAGACAATGCGTGCAGCTGACGCAACAACAGAACTGCCATCAGAAATCGCAGCCAGAGCCTCAGGAACTCCAACAGAAGAAGACCCAGCAGCAACGGAAGTGCAGTAGCAGAACCAGCACGCGCCGCCGCAGCAGCAAACGCAGCAGGTGACCTCCCCCCGGCCCATCTGTCCCTCGCTAGGCGGCTAGAGAAGCGAGTGCATGCTTAGCTTGGGAAGAAACGGAGAGCATATGCCGGATGGTGAGTTTGCCTTTGCACCGTTTATTCTTTTTGCGTGCAGGTTAGTTGCTGCTGGCCCTGAAAGTTTTTAACAGTGGGTCAGCGAGTTCATGAAAGCGTCAACCCAGGGACTGGGCGTGCTTGCATGTGCCGTTGTNTTTAACAGTGGGTCAGCGAGTTCATGAAAGCGTCAACCCAGGGACTGGGCGTGCTTGCATGTGCCGTTGTACTGCAGCAGGAGTTATGTGCTACTGCAGCAAGAGCGCTGCAGCTCATAGGTAGAACCCGGCTGTCTCCTCTCCTCATCGTCAGCCCCAGGCCCGGCGGGCCGACGTAACCAAGGGGCGACGAGAGCTGGGGAGAGCTCAGGTGACCCTCCTGAACTCTTTATAAAAGTATTTCGTTTTTTTTTGCGGTTCTTAGGGTCGCTCTGCAGCCCGCCGGTTGGGGTGTACATGCAACCCACGGCGGGGGTGCTGCATCGGTGGCTGCGAGAAGCTGTCGGTATAAACTGTTTGTATTAATTGTTGCAATTGAAATTGTTTATAATATTTAATTTATTTATTTAATTATAAAGAATTTGCGTGGGGGCTTCGGTCTCTGCTGCGGCGACCATTGAACAACAACGGCCGGCTGGCGCGGGGGGGTTGGGCTTATATGGGTGTATGAGTCAGGGGGCATCGCGGCTGTAAATTATATTTACTTTTTGTAATTTTTATTTTTAATTTAAAAAGAAGAAAACAATTGAGTTTGTTGTCTGTTGTATGAGGAAGGTTCTACGCAGCAGGCGCATCCGCAGCAGCAGCCGCGAGAGCAGCAGCAGCAGCAGCAGCAGCGGACGCAGGCAGTAGCCGCTGCTGCTGCCAGCAGCAGCAGCAGCAGCAGCAGCAGCCGCAGCAGCAGCAGCAGCAGCATCAGGCGCGGGCTCTGCTGCTGTGCACGACTGCGTATTTCTTGGAGAGACAGTGCAAATAGTTTAGATAAAGACAGAGTATAGTAAGGCATTGTGAGTAGTGATTGGTTTGCTGCTGGGTGCTGTTGCTGCAGCAGCAGCAGGAGCCGCTGCAGCAGCAACACTTGCGCCCCCGCAACTCGCGGGGCCCTAACCCCACACATTTGCTTCGTACCCCTTGCCATGCTGAGGCTTAACAGCTCCTCTCCCGTCTCCGTTTTGTTGCTGCTTCGCCCCCCTCTCTCTCTGCAGCGGTTGGGGGCCTCCCCCCTCCCGCGCCCCCGCCTTGTGGGCCCCGCATACAAGGCAAACAGCGAAGGTAGCTAACGCTGACGCTGCTGCTGCTGCTGCTGCTGCTGCTGNGCTGCTGCTGCTGCTGCTGCTGCTGCTGTAGCTCCTGCTGCTGCTGCTGCTGCTGCCGCTGCTGCCGTTGCTGCCGCCGCTGCTGCTGCTGCTGCTGGCCTGCCTCCTCTGCTGCAGCACCGCAGCTAACCCCTACTACTCTCACGAATGGGCACTCCACTCACCAATGCGCAGTCGCCGGGGGGCCGCCCCCAGCACAGCCCGGGCGCTCTGGGGGCCCGACTATCAGCGGCGGAGCATGGAGCTGACGAAGCAGCAGCAGCAGCAGCAGCAGCAGCAGCAGCAGCAGCAGCAGCGGCGGCGGCGGGGACAGCAGCAGCAGCAGCAGCAGCAGAAGCGGCGGCGGGTACCAA